CATGAGTACAATTAAGTGTTCTGGAATTCCCATTCTTCGCAGTGCTATTCATAATTTGCTATGATCCACAAGTAGAATGCCTTTGCATAGTCAGTAAAAAACAGGCAAACGTATTTCTGGTATTCACTGCTTTTATTTTGCCCATAGAATTCTTCAGTATTGCAACTCAAGGCTTAAATTTTTTCTTCAGTTCTTTTAGCTTGAAAAATGCCTAGTGTATTCTTCCCTTTTGGCTTTCTGACTCCAGGTCTTTGCACATTTCATTATAACACTTATTTCTAATTCCTGATTCTTCTTTGTTTCCAACTTTTGCATTCCAATTGCCAGTAATTATCAATGTGTTTCGACTGCATATTTTATCAATTTCAGACTGCAGAAGTTGGTAAAAATCTTCGATTTCTTCACCTTTGACATTAGTGGTTAGTAAGTAAATTTGAATAATAGTCATATGAACTAGTCTTCTTTGTAGGTGTATGGATATTATCCCATCACTGACAGCATTATTCTCTAGGATAGATCTCGAAAGGTTGTTTTTAACAGTGAAGGTGACAACTGTTCATTTTCAATTTGTCGTTCCCGGCGAGGTAGATCATATGATTGTCTGACACAAAATGGCCAATATCAGTCCATTTCAGCTCACTAATGTGTAGGATATGGATCTTCAAGCTTTCTATTTCATTTTTGACCACTTCCAATTTTCCTAGATTCATACTTCGTACATTCCATATTCTGATTGTTAATGGATATTTGCAGCTGTTTCTTCTCATTTTGAGTCATGCCACCTCAGCAAATGTAGGTCTTGAAAGCTTTACTCCATGCAGGGGCTCATCTTCCAGCACTATATCAAACAATGTTCCACTGCTATTCATAAAGTTTTCATTGGCCAATTTTTTTAGAAGTAGATCTAGTCTGCCTTTGTCTGGAAGCATCACTGAAACCTGTCCACCATGCTGGTATTTGAAATATCAGTGGTATAGCTTCCAGCATCACAGCAACATGCAAGCCACCACAATATGACAAACTGACAGGTCAGTAGTGGATCTATACGCTAGCAATGTACAAATGTAGAATTAGAAACCAAAAGTTACAAATTTATAAATGTTTATAAATTATAATAATTCAAATTATCGTGTTGAATTTTATATCAAATACTTTTTTGCATCAATTCGTGTGATCATGTGATTTTACCTTTTTTGATAGTTAATTTGGTAGATTACATTGATTGATTTTCAAACAAATAGTTGTTGTTTTTTGCCCTCTTTGGGCTTCAGGACAATGTCGGCTTCACAAAATTTTAGGTTACAATTTCCTCTTCTGTTTTTTGGAAGAGATCATGTAGATATAGTGTTATTTGTTCTATGGTAAAATTCACCACAGAGGTCATCAGTGACCTGGAGAAGAGCAGTTTCTGGGGAGTGGTGGAGGCAATGGCTTGACTAGAGTATATTCAAGAGAGTCTGTACGGAGAGAAACTGGAGAAAGAACCCATATACTTCATATTATTCTAGTTTTGGAGGAGAGTGAAGAATAGGAAATAAGTTGAGAAGGAGTGAAGAGGTAAGTGGAGTTAGAGGCAGTGAAGTTTCCTGTGTAGACATTCAGAATTTCCAGAAGGCATCGATGAACACATACTCTTGATAGACTCTGTCCTCTCATTTTCTCATTATCTTACCAATTTTAGGCATCACCACTGTTATGGATTGAATTGTGTCCCCCAAAACTATTTTGTTGTAAATCCTAGGCTCTATGCCTGTAGTTATAATCCCATTTGTGAATGGGTTCTCTTTGTTATGTTAATGAGGAATGATTAGTGTAGGGTGTATCTTGAATCAATCTCTTCTTTGAGACATAAAAGAGATTAAACAAACAAGCAAGGAAGCAGAGATGGAGGGAGATAGATGCCAAGCCACATGGAGATCTCCAAGGAACCAGGAAACAAGCTGAAGAGACAAGGACTTTCCCCAGAGCTGACAGAGACAGAAAGGCTTCCCCTAGAGCTGGCGCCCTGAATTTGGACTTCTAGCCTCTTAAACTGTGAGAAACTAAGTTTGTTTGTAAAAGCCACCCACTTGTGGTATTTCTGTTATAGCAGAACTAGATAACTAAGACAGAATTTTGTACCAAGAAGTGGGTGTGCTGCTCTAACTAAAATATGGAACTGGTTTTGGAATTGGCTAATGGGTAGAGGCTGAAAGAGTTTTAAGGTGTCTAAGAGGAGCCCTGGTGGTGTAGTGGTTAAGAGCTCGGCTGCTAACCAAAAGGTCGGCAGTTCAAATCCACTAGACACTTCTTGGAAACTCTGTGGGGCAGTTTTACTCTGTCCTATAGGGTTGCTATGAGTCAGAACCAACTTGACAGCACCTAACAACAATAGTTAAAGCCCAGACTACCTTGAAGAGACTGTTGGTAGAATTATGGACATCAAAGGCCATTCTGGTGAGGGCTCAGAAGGAAGTAAGAAGAGCTATAGAGAAAGTCTCTATACTCTTACAGAATTTATATGGTGCCAGCAAAACAATGTTGCTAGAACTGTGGACATTAAATGTGCTTCTGGAGAGGCTTTAAAAGAAAATGATGAACAAGTGTTTGGACAATGGAGGAAAGGCAATGCTTTTTATGCAGTAGCAAAGAATTTGTCTGAATTATGTTCAACTGTTTGGTGGAAGGCAGAACTTGTAAGTGATGAAGTTGGATATTCGCTTGAGGAGATTTTTAAACAAGATCTTAGAGAGGCCATGTGGTTTCTCCTTGCCACTTATAGTAAAATACGAGAAGAAAGAGATATACTTAAAAGTGAATTGTACAGAATGCAAATGGAACTCAAAGATTTGGAAAATTCTGTAGTACAAACTTAGGTAAGTGTCCTAGAATTTTCACCAAGGACATGGTTACACAATCTTTTAAGCCTGTGACTGATGGATCTAACCAGCTGCCACAACATGAAAAGAAAGAATGCTGTCTGCCTCTTGGAATTATACAGGCAGGAAACAGGTCAAAGGAGCTACATCCGTTGTCCTCCAAGAATCTAAAAGGACCGTGCCTGGAGCAGCTCGGAGGTCAGCAGAATTGTTGGAAGAAGCACAGGAAGCAGAGCTGCCTCAGTCTCAAAGGGTGGGGCCACAGCCACTGGGGTCTCAAAGGGTAGAGTCACAGCCTCCTAGGTTTCAAAGAGTCAGATCTTCACCAACTCAGTTCCAGAGTGTGGGGCTACCACTTAATTTAGCCAAGAGGATAGGACCACTGCCAAAAGCTGAGGGGGCAGGGCTGCCATGACCAAGTGGCAAAAATGGGGCCTGCCGGGGCGAAGGGGGTGGGGCTGGCACTCAGATGGATAAGGAGAACGGGGCCACCCAAAGCCAAGGGAGCAGAGTTGCCATCCCAGTGGGCCTGAAAGTCTGGGCTAAAGCCCAAAGTTGAGGAGCGTCCACCCAGAATCCATAACGGCATGCCAACACCTAGAGTCTGAGGGGCAGGGCCATTGCCCAGATGGTTTCAGAAAACAGAAGATTTATTTTGAAGACTTGAGAGCCAATGCAATTTGTTCTGCTGGGTTTTGGACTTGCTTGCTTCCCATTATCCCTTCTTTTCCTCTAATTTCTCCTATTTGTAATGGAAATGTCTAGCTTGTGCCTGTCCCAGCATCGTACTTTGAAAGCAGATAACTTGTATTCTAGATTTCACAGGTTCACACAGATGAAGAGGAATTTTGCCCCAGGATGGAATACACCTGAGGTCTCATCCTTATTTGATTTTGATGATTCAGAAGATGAGATTTTGGGAGGAATTCCAAAAGACATGACCCTGGACTCTCTGTTAGCCTAAAACTAAAACCATTCCCAAGGCCAACTCTGCAGACAAAGATTAGACTGGACTATGGGACAGATAATGACACTCGTGAAGAGTGTGCTTCTTAGCTCAAGTAGATACATGAGACTAAATGGGCAGTTCCTGTCCAGAGGTGAGATAAGAAGGCAGAGAGGGTCCGGAGTTGGTTGAATGGACATGGAAAATCCTGGGTGGAAAGGAAGAGTGTGCTGTCACAGTATAGGGAGAGTAGCTAGAGTCACATAACAATGTATGTATAAGTTTTTGTATGAGAGACTAACTTGAATTATAAACTTTCACTTAAAGTATAACAATTAAAAAAAAAAAGATGAGATTTTGGACTTGGAGTTGATATAAGACTTTTGGGACGATGTGATGCAGTGAATGTGTTTTGCATGTGACAAGGGCATGAAATTGGGGGGGGGGAAAGGGTGAAATATTATGGACTGAATTGTGTCCCCCAAAAATATGTGTTGTAAATCCTAACCTCTATGCTAGTGGTTATAATCCCACTGGGGAATGGGTTGTCTTTGTTATGTTAATGGGAAGGATTAGTGTAGTGTCTTGAGTCAATCTCTTTGTTGAGATATAAAAGAGATTAAAGAAGCAAGCAAAGAAGCAGAGATGGGAGAAGATAGATGCCAAGTCACATGGAGAGCTCCAAGGAACCACGAAGTAGAAGCTGAAGAGACAAGGACCTTCCCCCAGAGCCAAAAGAAAGAGAGACTTCCCCGAGAGCCAGAGCCCTGAATTCAGACTTTTAGCCTCCTAAACTGTGGGAAAATAAATTTCTGTTGGTTAAAGCCACCCATTTGTGGCACTTCTGTTATAGTAGCACCAAATAACTAAGACAACCACACTCAGCAAAGTGCTCTGTACTTACTGGACATATATTAAACGTTTGCTGAGAAAGGGAAATACTATTTCAGATGATCCCATTACTCGTCACAGTAGCAATTCGATTTAAAAACTATATAAAAGAGACATAACATAGAGTAATATAATTTTCTTCAACTACATTAGCAACACACAGCTTTTCTAAGTTAATGCATTACTAATGAAATATAGATTATCAGGGTAGACGGTATTTTTACAAAACCCATGCAGCTAAGTTGTTCATAAAACATTGACATATATTATTAGGAGCAAAGACAGATCCTCCTGCCACTACTTACTATCCCCCCGGCAGAGCAGAGGCCCCAGTGTATAAGCTGCTTCAGAATGTGGTCGGCCTGTGTCTGTCATCACGACCTGCGTAACTGGCAGGTGCTCCTTCTGAGAAAGGACAACCGTGTCACTGGTCCTAGAAAACAGCAACAATCACCTTAAGATTATTCTGAATAACATATAGGTAAAATAAACAATAGTCTTACTGCAGTTCAAGAGGTCTTAAACGAAATTTATAAATACAAAACAGTAGGGAAATCAAACTGCTCGTCTGAACACTGAAGACACACGTAGTAAGGTATTTAATGAGATCATCTGAGAACCAGAGACCATGATTCATCCACAGGACCACATAAACGTGAACATGGGTGCACGCAGCAGATTCCATGTTCAACGTGATTAAGCAGCTAACTGCCCTTTTAAAATTAGCCACTGTGTAGGACTTAATGCAGAAGTTAAGCATACAGGCATGAGCACGAAAAACCACTTGACTGACAAGGTTTACGTTTTCAATTCTCAGAATTTTATCTTTAAATATCTATAAAATTCTTATTGGGGTTACTAGGCATTCCCTGACTTGTTGACTCCATAAATTGAAAAACGAAATTCTGACTCAAAACCAAGATGAAAGTCTGACACAACGTACTCTTAATAAATGGGAAAGTATGTTGTCGATTGTCCCTGTCCATCCCTGGACAAATGTTTATAGCACGTCTTTTAATTACCAGGTCCTGTGTGTGGCAGATATGGGCATAAAAAACACCACCGATACCCCCAGGAGACTCAGTGGATATTGTAAATAATAACAATAATAGATAGTATAAGTAAATATTTGGGGAAACATTAGTACCTATCATTCCAATACAAAAAGGCCTGGAGCAGGAGTCTGAGGACCTGGATCGTAGGCTGACCGTCCAACCAACTTCCTCTCTGGACAAAGTAAAAGGACTTGTCTCCATTTTACAACCTGCCCCCCTTTTTTTATTGCATATTTCAATTACATGCGCACTTTTGATTTTTGGAAAAATAATAGTTTGTCTAGTTTACCTTTCTGATGCCCTGAATCTGTGTAGAACCTAGTAAGTTTGAATTCTTAACCAGTACACAGCTGCCACTCACTCTTGTATAAACAGGTTGAAGCTTTTGAAAGTACTGCCTTCACAGGTCAAAAAAAAAAAACCAGCAACTTCATATGGTTCAACCTAAGAGCTTTGTGGCAAAAAATCTGAATAACCGAATATTTAGTCATTCCAATTCTATTTAGGCATCAAAAGATTATTTTAAGGTTTAACAGTTAAAATGAAATTGAGCTATTTAAGAGTTTAAGCCTATTTAAAAAATTTTAATAAAGTGGCCTGCCGTCCAAATGGGAAAATATGGAAGAAAAAAAAACTTTTATTGAATCAGGCTATTTCCCAAAATCAGACTAAAGAAATGAATGTGGCTTTATCGGGTTAAGTCCTAGTGATGCCTCCAAATGGAGAAGCACAGGCAGGTCATCCCAAGCACAGTAGCACTGGGCTGTGTGGTAGGTGTCACTGGGTGTAGGGAGTTGGTCTGGAAATTTATTTTATTAGAAATGTGAAGATAACCCACCAAATTATTTCCTGGTGTTAAATATCAACCTATTGGTAAATACCACATAGAAGTGTTTTAATTGCTGTGACTGCTATTTTGGCAGGACAGCCTAGAGGAAAAATGCAACTGGATCAGTTATTCTTTGGAGGATCCTTGAATTTTAAAGAACCATTTGCAGAAAAGCTACACGTCCATTCTGTCTTTAGCACTAATAATACACGCAGAGTCCTGAAAATATATAAGTGAAATCATGGTGCATGTTGGGTGGATTAAGGCAGATACCGTAACAGAGTCTTGTTCCTTTGTTGTTTGCAAAGTGTGCTTGATCTGGGGAATTTTTAACAATTGTTTTAAAATCCATTATTAGTACAGGCCATTCCCAAATGTCCATGTGTTGTGCAGGGTTTTGTACATTTGCCACAATCAACAGTAATCTCAATTTTCTCCTCTCCATTTTTTCCACATTTATAAACACTGCATATCTAGGCATGATAATTTCTCACAACAGTTTTAAACATTCAGTAAGAGAATTCCCAAACCCTCTCTCTTTTTTTTTTTAAGTTCCTAAGGCTCTGGAAATTATTCTCACCCTTCACTGCTTTGCAGTGGACTTTTTTGAGGCCAAACACAGCTTTGACTACTCTGGGTTGTTGGGAAATCTTAAAAGGGAAAAATACTGGATCCACTTTGATACTTAATAATTGTTTGGGGAAAAGACGGCCTAGTAAAAACATAATTATCATCATCCTGAAGTAACATATTTGGAAAGCTTCCCAGCCTTGTATTATTTTCACTGTTCTACGTGCTCATCCTTTTGCAAACTCACAGTGTATTAACGACGACAGCCATGTAATAGAGTCGGTGTCTGGTAGGGTTAATGGCCCCACCTTGCTTTTCATCTTCAGAATCATGTTAGCTATCCATGCACCATTGTTTTTCCATGTAAATTTTAGAATCATCTTGTTACCCAAAACAAAACAAATATTTGGCATTTGTTTGGAATTAAATTGAATTAAGAAATTTATTTGTGGGGAGAGATACTTAGTTTTCCAGTCTGTAATAGTAGCATACCTCTCCATTTATATAGGTCTTCTTAGACTTTTGTAATAAAGTTTTATGATTTCTTATTCATAAAAGTCTAGTATACTTTTGTTATATTTATCCCAAGTGATTTTTGTTGCTTTTGCAACTGGTTTTTACTGCATTTTCTTATAATAACAAGTTTTTTAATAGGAATTCAAATATCCTAAGGTTCAGCAGCCTTACTATCATTAATTCCAATATTTCTGTATATCCTCTTGCGTTTTCTTTGGAGACGAACATCATGTCTATGAATAATTCAATCTTTCTTTGTTATCAATCTTTTATGTTTTTGAACTGTGCCATGTATTTTTTTAAATCTTTTTATTTTTCATCTCTAACCTAATTTCACTGCAATCCAAGAACTGCCTTATGATACCAACTATGGTAAAATTTTTTGAGATTTGCTTTACGGAACATTGGGTTACCAGTTTGCAAAAATGTGCCATGTGTGTTTGAGAAAATTACACAAATTTTTATTTTCTGTGTCTATCAAATCAAGTTGTTAATTTTGTTTTCAAAATATTCTATATCCATTCTCATTTTTGTCCCTTTCATTTGCCAATTACTAAATGATGTTCGTTGAAACCTCTTATCATAGTTGATTTGTGAATTTCTTCTTGTAATTCTGTCAATTTTTTCTTTATATATTTTAATGCATTGTTATTAGCAGTATACAGGTTTAGACCTATTCTTTCTGGTGAAATTAAAGTGTCATTTTATAGTGAGCAGCTTTGCCTATAATAAGGCTTTTTAAATTTGCTTACTTTTGTGTATATTGGCCTGATAATTTTTTTAACCATTTTACTTTCAATATTTCTGGGTGTATAAACAAAATATATTTGTTCCTAATTCAACATGATATATATGGATTTAAAAGGATATTTCACCGATATTTATTGTGCATGATTACTAGTATATGTTTTATTTTATTCTGTGCTTGCTACTTTCTCATCTTTTTTTAAAATCTCACTCCTTCTCTTTTGGATTAACTGCGTTTTTCGAATCCCACTTTTCTTTTCTTCCCCCACTGACTTGAATGTTACATTCTCAATTTCTATTCTTTAGAGATTGCTCTTAAAATGTTAATGCGTGCATTTAAAACAATGTAATGTAATAAATATTCACAAAACCTCCTTTGTTATATGTTATTAACGTCCAGTATTTTACTTCTTTTTTTTTTTAACTACTGAATTAAAAAATTTGTTTCCTCAATATATTTTTCTTGCATCTCAGACTCTCCTTCTGGGCTCTTTCTTTCTGAAAACGATCTTTTGTAAGTTCTTCTTGTGAGATGTGCTGGTGGTAAACTTCCTCAGTGTGTGGATTTTCATTTAGCCTCACTTTTGAAAAAAATATCAAAACCAAACCAGCTGTTGTCGAGTCGATTCCAACTCATGAAGACCCCATGTGTGTCAGAGTAGAACTGTGCTCCATGGAGTTTTCAATGGCTGATTTTTCAGAAGTAGATTGCTAAGCCTTTCTTCATGGTGGACTCAAACAGCCAGTCTTTCAGATAGTGGCCAAGCACGCTGTTTGTACCACCCAGAGACTTGAAAATATCATCTGGTTATAATATTCTAGTTTGACAGTTATTTTATTTCAGGACTGTAATGATAGTAGCCCAACGTCTGTTCACCGCTCTCTTTACTGATGTCGAGAGCTCTGTTGACAATCTATTTGTCTTTCCTTTTAGGAGTCTCTCCTTCAGCTCTGCTTCTAACATTGTCTTTAGTGTCCTTCAGTTTCACCATGATGTGTCTAGATATGAATTTATTTTTATGTATCCTGCTTGGCATTCCAATATATTCCCAAATCTGGAAATATCTCAGCCATTTTCCCATTTGATAGAAGATTGGATATAATCGTTAACTATTTCCAACCCTCTTTTGAAACATTAATCAGACACGTGTTCAACCCTCTCTAAATCACTTCTCTATGTCTGTCTTTAATGTTTTCCATTGTTTTCTCTGTGTTCTATATTCCATGTCATTTATTTACATTTATTTTTCAGTTCTCCAATTTTCGTATTGCTTGGGTCTAATAGCTGATCTAACTCTTAAATTTTGATGATTTTGTACTTTCATTTCTGACCATTCTTTTGGTTCTTTTTCAGATCATAATCATCTTATTAATAGTATCTGATTACTTTCTCATGTTTCAATTCCATTATTTTTAAATAGCTAACATTTATTTTACTTTATATTTCTAATATACCTATTACCTGGGATTATTAGGCTCTCAATTCTACTTTTTGCATTTTCTTCTGATTCCCACTCATAGGAGATTCTTTCCTCTTGAGTTTTATAATACTGGATTGCGAACTCATGTTTGGTGACATTTTATCTGCGAAAATTCTGAGAGGCTTGGGGCAGGGCTCCAGTAAGAATTTCATCTAATTTTGCAATAGATTACTGGTGTTGTCCACCTGTGGTCACATTAATTTTATTTCAAGGACATCCCAAGTAATGTAAACTTAAACCAAATTTGTGTGAGTAATTCTCAGGGAGGTGGTATTTTTCTACCTAGTGTGCCAGTGGGAAGATCTGTCCCCATCCACCATTTCTTAAGGGTTGTAGCCTTTTGAGACCTCCAGCTGTGTGGGGAGTTTTGTGTTCCATATATCCCCTTCCATGGACTCAAGGTCTTATTTGATTTCCCCTACGCGATCATTTAAGACACAACTAGAAATTAGGGAGGTCAGCAAACACTCCTTGGTCAACCACAGGTCAGTCTTCTTATTAATCAGGCTAAACCGAATTTTATGAAGTCTGATATTTCACTTCCAATGAATAAAAAACCAAAAAAACAAACCCATTGCAGTTGAATCAATTCCAACTCATAGCTACCCTATAGGACAGAGTAGAACTGCCCCATAGGGTTTCCAAGGAGCCCCTGGGGGATTCGAATGGCCACCCTTTTGGTTAACAGCCGTAGCTCTTAACCACTACGCCACCAGGGTTTCCTTCCGATGAATGGGAAACACTAATCAGGTGACCAGAGTTTTTCTTATTAGAGAAATAAAAATGCACAAGATCAATTACTCACAGGGAAACAGAAATAGTTATCTTAATATTTTAGGCTTCAGAGAGATTATATCATATTCACCAAAGCTTACATTTTTAACTTGCTAGGGCATACTTTAAGCTATTGTCTTCTTTGCACTATCTTGTCCAATATCTGCCTAAGGCACATAGTTTAGGCAATAAAAAAGTTACAGCTTTCACAGGGAAATCACGTGGAAATCACCATTCATTCCGGTCAGCATCACAGTTGCAGTAATATTGAGAATCAAGGCAGTTCCCCTCTAATCCACAAGTACACTTCTGAGCTTCAGGCAGAGAATCTCCCCAGTAACTGTGTGTTTCATTGGTTCTTCCAACCCACCAGCTCAGTGGGGTTCCATCTGAAAGACAAGTATGAGAGAGATGACACCTACTTTGCTCCCCATGATCTGCCTCCCCAATATAGTTCCTTCACTTTCTTCTATTTAAAAAACTGAGACATTATTTTAGAAGTGATCATATTTTAACTCTGATATAGGATAATTTTTAAGAGGACTGAAAACTGTTTATAAATATTTTAATATTGAGGCTTAAGTTATTGCCATATATTTTTTATTTTATTAGAAAATAAACAAGTGGCCGTGCAGGCATGATATTTACACTTTTTTCCTCAAGAAGTCCAATTATGTGATTGATTTTGAAATAATACCCAAAAAAGAATTGTTATCAAGATAAAGACCAATTTATACACAGAATCTAAAATCTCTGAGATCATAACTTGTGTACTGAAAGAATGCAATGTTATTAGGCAAAGGTATGAACTTCTTTCACTTTATTTATCAGCTGAAACTCTTACTCCCTATTATGTCTTAATAGTTGAGTGTTTTTTGTTGGGTTGAATGACACTGATGAGACTTCTTCATGCCTGAGGTGGATCTTAAGCTCGGAACAAGGCTGAGCCAACCACAGCTCAGTTCTGTGGCGTCATCTCCTCCTTGGAGCACCCCAAAGGCCACCTCCATGCTACAGGATTGCACATTGACCCTAAGGAGGCTGCCAAGACGTCCATGCAGGATTACAGCACAGTAGGGTGAGAACGATTAGGAAGCGAGGAGGCATGCAGGCAATACGTCTTAAGAAGGGGATGGGTAGACAGAATCAGGGCAGGAAGGGAAATGGAAGTGACAGCAAATCAATTGGCTCTGCAGAGACACTTGTCCATTTTCATGTGTTCTTTCAAACTCTTAACTTGTCACCATCGGGCCCCCACTGAGAATCTGCGATGTATCCCAGCTTCTCCCCAACTTAAACCCGCCACTGCTCAGTATTGCCTCCTCGTAGCTCATGAAGACATCAACTGCATTCATTACCACCCACCGTGGCCCAGTGGGTGAGGTCTGTGCAAAGAAATCCATCAATATCTGGAGTCTTTTTTTTTTTAATGGGTTGAAAATTTATCTCCAGGGGGTGGAAGATCTTTTTAGTTTAACAGATATTTCAGAGATATTTTCCAAATAACCATTTAAAATACTTAACTATTCAACATTTATTCTTTCGGAGATTGAAGAGCAAATGAATTATACACAAACGTACAACTGCGCATTTACATCTGAATTTTTCATTTTCTCTATAAGAAAAGAAACATCAATTGTTTTGAAAAGCATTTTTAAAGGCACAAAATGCCTGTTTCCGTTCAAGATTTCCTAGAGTATCCTAGAGAATTTGCATAGGAAATAATTAAGAAACATATGAAGGACCATCAGAAGCTGAAAGGAAAACGAATAGGAGAGGTAGCAGTGAGCAGGACAAACAGCATTCACCATATGGGGACTGAATAGTCTCCTACAATGTCAACACTTGTAACTTGCTCTGCAGCCACCTATCATCATATCCCCTGAAACTATTCCAGCTCTGAGAGCCATAATATTGAGATCTTGAAGATACCGCAGGGCTAACCATGTTCCCTTGACCCTGACAAGATCTCAGGCCCACCTCTCTTGCAAACTCAATTTGACCAAACCCCGCCTTGCTGCCCCTGTATCTCGTCCTGTGATTAACATAATTTCAGTTTCCTAAGAACTTGAACAGTGAAAAATTCTTGGAATAAAAGTGAATTTTAACTGAACTTGTCCAATCTACCCAGTTGCTTAAATTCTTAAGCTCTTTGCTCCCCACGATGCAGTCATCTTGCCCTGTTCTCCCATTGCAACACTCCAATGAAGGCTCCAGCTAGAGGCTGTGATTGTTTTTTCTCTTTCACCCAAGCATAATGGCATCAATGTCCACACACCCATTGATAATGACTATTGATAATGCAAAACAAATTAGTGCAACAATTTTAAGGACTACTAGGCTACACTATTTGCCTACTTCACCTCCATCCTAATTAAGAGCTTCTGGAAATACATAGGTCTGTACTGAATTTGGGAGTCCCTGAGTAGTGCAAATAGTTCACTCGCTTGGCTGCTGACTGGAAGGGTGGAGGTTCACATTCACCCAGAGGAGCCTTGGAAGAAAGGCCTGGTGATCTAATTCTGAAAAATCAGCCACTGAAAACACTATGGAGCACAGTTCCACTCTGACACGGGTGGCGCTGTCATGAGTTGGAACAGACTCCAATGGCAGTGTAGAAGAAGTACATATAACTTGAGCCTGCATAGATGAGAAAGTCCTCTTTTCTTGTTTCTCTAGGAGGAGTTTAACAAGTTTAAAATTATTTTCTCTTTTCATCGTTTTCCCCAAACCCAATAATACACAGTACTAGCTTTTGTTGCTGTTGTTCTTGTTTTACGTATTTATATAGAAGGGATTACCAAACCCAAGGTGAAAACTTACTGCCATCCAGTTGAGTCCACCTCCTACACAGGCCTGTACTGAACAGAGCAAAACTGCCCCATAGGGTTTCCAAGGCTGTGAATCTTTACGGAAGCAGACACTCACATCTTTCTCCTGCTGAGGGGGCTGGTGGGTTAGAACCGCCAACCTTTCAGTTAGCAACTGAGTGCTTAACCACTGTGCCACCAGGGATCCTTGAAAATCAAGTAATCAATCACAGATCAACAGGTAAACACTGGTCCTGTGTGTGGGAATTCTTTACCTGTCACGTTAAAGCTAATATGAGTGAGTCTTGTTCCTCAATCCACTGGGTGATACTGTCTCCTGACCATTAGTGGTTGGTTCCCAAACTGCTCTGCCTTTGCCATGTCTTCCCTGGTTAAACCCAACTTGTGTTGTTCCATCCAAAAAAAAAAGACTCGCTGCCATCCAGTCGGTTCCGACTCATAGCTACTCTATAGGACAGAGTAGAACTGCCCCATAGGATTTCCAAGGAGAGGATGGTGAATTTGAACTGCTAAACTTTTGGTTAGCAGCCAAGCTCTTAACCACATAGCACTGATTTATTCTCTTGGAATTATCCTTCTCATTCTTCTGGGAACCTGTAATTTTCACTCAGTGATCCTTTGACAACAATCAACCAACAATAAGTATTAAAACCTCTAACTATAAATTCAATAACCTGGAGAGCTGCTAGTAAGTAGTATTTACTTCATGCACTTTATATATGTTTTGCAGTTAAGTCTTGGCAAGGTTAGTGTCTCAGCTCTGAAGACTCAGAAAGATTAAACAATTCTCCCTAGTTCCACAGTTACTGAGTGACAGGCTTGCAACTTGGACTCCGAGGACCCTGCCTGCCACTCTCTGCCCTCCCTACTCCCTGAGATCCCTGAGTAACCTTCAGAGAATGGGCAGACCAACCTCCAGAAAGTCAAAGGGTCTTCATGAAGGCAGCGAAGCTCAACATGCCAACAAAATAAGATACTACAAAGGGAGAAAATACAAAACCAAAACCAGAATTTGCAAGAGAAGGCTGAAAACAAAACAACAAACGAAGAAAAACCAAAATCAACTACTAACAGATTTGGGAGTCCCTAAGTGGTGCAAAGTGTTAACACGCTTGGCTACTCACCGAAAGGTTGATGGTTTCACCCACTGGCACCTTGACAACTGGTATTAAGAGGCTAAGTTGACTGGTATCTTGAAAAAAAATCGCACGATACCAACAACAAAAAACAAACCAGTTGCTAACCCGTCGATTCCAACTCATGTTGACCCCATGTGCACCAGGATAGAACCGTGCTCCACAGGGATTTCAATGGCTGATTTTTCAGAAGTAGGTCGTGGGGCCTTTCTTCTGAGCAGGGGTGGATTAACCAGTAAGCAAGGTACGCACGGGCTTACTTGTGCTTTCTTACTAATCTGTAGTGCCCAATTTCATGTGGGTTTCACCACACCTTTGATGTGATGACAAACAGGTGAAATTGTGCACTACAGATTAGTAAGTAAGCACAAGTAAACCTGTGCGTACCTTGCTTATTGGGTGATCCGTCCCTGCTTCTGAAGCACCTCTGGGTGGACTTGAACATCCACCCTTTCAGCCAGCATCCCAGTGTTTAACCCATGTGCACCACTGAGGGACTCCATGGTACCAACGTTGCTCCCGAATTAACAATTACCTAAGACACTAAGTGCGTTCACACTAAGAATCTCAGGAAGTAACCAGAGAACTAAGCCATGTTGTTGTTGGCAAGCTTCCCCAAGAGAAAACTAAAGATGTCAGGGCACTTCATCGTGGATGAACACTGTGCCCTGAGGGTCAGCTCAGTTGTCCAAATAGTCTCGGAAGAGATTTTGGTGCATTGACAGCTTTGAGGAAAGAGCAGCAAATACTGACCACGCTCTTTGCTCCATGGAAAAGCATCTCTGTAACTCCCAGATTGTGACCTAGGTGCATGGACACATGAGTCACATGACTCTGTGGCGGAGGCTTTAATTTGGTGGGAAGTAAAGTCTATGCTAGCTCCTTACTTACCTCGGGCAGATGAAAGCCTTGACTTCTTGCAATGGAAGGTCAGCTCCTGTTGGCAGTGGTCTGCGCGGTTAATTATGGCCTGGAGCTGGTCCAAGCTGGCCGTGTAGTTGAAAAGCACAGGATGGAGGCTTTCTCCATCAGAGCTTTTGACTCTGGTCAAATGAGCACCATTGTGCTGTACTGAGGTCCAGGCAGTGTCTGGTGGGAAGAAAGGAGGAGGTAGGGGAAGAAAAGAGATCGTGACTAGGCTGAAATAATTAAAATAAATACAAAAATCAGAAGCATATTTAATCTGATTTTTTCTAAGTGATCATCAGATCTCTTTGAGATTGGAATCAATCAAAGTAGGATTCTTAAAAATGTTAATAGTAGGGAAACTATAGACATTTGTATTACCATGTACCTACAGTAATTATTTTTGGTAGTATGTGATTGACAATATAGCCAACATTCTAACGTGAGTAGTTTTGAAGTTCTATGATAAAATATCCAAAGTTATAAATAGAACTGTTTGGCTCTTAAACAGATGTTTCTTTCCATTACCATAAGAACAAAGCAGAACTTTTATTGTACACGTATTTATCTTTTTAATAAACATATTCCTTATCTGACTGAGAGTCTTTTTCTTTAATAACCAAATAAGTGTATAGAAGATACTTTTGAGGAACAGGTAGCCCATGTGATCATGTAAAATAATAGAAAATAAATATTTCTGACAAAAATTGATTGATATGGTGTCAGAAACTAATCTAGTGGTCAACCCCCCCAAAAAACTAAAATGTCTTTAAGAATCTAATGTAACTATTCTGGTAGTAAGTATAGCTACTTGAATGTCTGCTGACATATTTCTATAACACTGATTACCTCTGTTTGAGTGAAAGACATTTTAAAAAATCAAGACACCCTGTAATGTTTACAACAAAAGAAAAACATCTTTCCTCCAATACACCTAACACCATAAAAGTGTAAATGTATGCACAGTATAAAGGCCCATGATTCCATAGGTAAAAAAATGACTGGAAGTTGCCCTACTTGAACTACATTTATAACATCATGTCATGTAACCCCTTCTGGAAAAATGTCTTTTCATAAAACCGTCAGTCTACATACAAACTTTCCGAATTAGAGGGGTAGGAAGCAGCCGTGTGGAGTTTATTTTTATGATTTTTCATAGCTAAATACATGAATGAGGTTGAAATATCAAAACTTGATAAGGAGACCCCTGAGCAGTTCTCCATCGGCCCCTCTTCCTGCCACGAGGAGTTTGTACCCGGCCTGTGTTATAGAAATGAGTCAAAAACTGCCTTTAGTTATTAGCCCCAGGTTATCTACTTCTTCATAGCAAGCTCAGTCCCGTTAGCCACAAAGATAAAACTCCACCAGTGCCAAATTCAAATCTGTACATATTCAAGCGTTTAAAGAAGAGCCCACATGAGCAGACTCTGACAGCTTCACATAACCTGTGAAGCTGCACCCAACATCTCTCTGTGCCTGATAAGATGGAATCGTGTTGTTACAAGGACCATGATGTGCTGCTGCCTTCCGGCGCTCCATGTTGCTACGGGAGGACCTCGCTTAGGAGTATGCAAGCCCTTCCGCCCTTTTCCTAGATTTTCATGCCTTCTTCCCCTTTGGTAATGTCCCTGGTGGTGCAAATGGTTTGCACTTGACTACTAACCTAAAGGTTGGTGGTTCAAACCCACTCAGCGACACCTCAGGAGAAAGACCTGCATCTGTAAAGATTACGGCCAAGAAAACTCTATGGAGCAGTTCTACTCTATAACGCATGAGGTCGTCATGAGTGGGAACAGACCCAATGGCAACAGGTTTTCCCCTTCTGGTGGTTCCCTGAGCCACTTGCCTCTGGAAGGCCTCCTGTGTGGGGGACTGCCCCCTGCATGCAGCTGTCAATGCACTGGCCCCAATAAGCAGCCTGTTGTACAACACTGCTGTCTTGACAGTCATAGCTTTTCCTTGATCAGTCCCGAATGCCCTCAGACTTACTACCGTTTGTCTGACATACCCCTAAAGCATCAAATACAACCAGAGATCCAGGGAAAAGAACCACAAGAGCTGCTGGAAATAACTCTGGCTCTGAGCCTACGGAGAGCAATTCATAAAATACACAAACAACTGGTAAGAACAAGAACAAACTGTGAGTCAGCATGACTAAAGTAGTTGTATATTCAATTAGAAAAAACGACTTCATAGATCATCTCCCTCTCAGCTCACTAAAGGAGGCTGTGAGCGAATTCCATAGATTTTCTTCTTTAATCACATTCTCACTGAGCAGTGAAGATTTCAACATTTTCATGGAAAATTACTTAAATGAAGCAGGTGTTATTTTTTGCAACTACTTCCTCCCCTTGGCCCTTAGAGTTTCTAATATCAAACAAAACAAGGATAAAAGGAACCCCATAGAATACTGTATTCAACTTAAGAGTTCATCAGTTATAAAGCCATTTTGTCATTTATTTTCATGGTTTACGGTACAAAGAAGATGATGTGCCTGAATAGTTTATATTGATTGGTGGCCAGTATGATAGACTTGTGGTCTTGCATGGTTAGAATAAAGTAACAGAATGTTTTTTTTTTCAAGTAAAGAGAAGGGAAAGGTTAAAAATAATCTCTAAAACTCTTCTTCTGCAAAAAAAAAAAAAAAAGAATAACAACCCCAAACAAGGACACATTACATTTCCCTAATATTCCACAATATATTATCTTCATAGATCTCAAAACTATTAGCTGGAAGGGACCTGTGAGATTGTGTAGTATAACCTTAGCTTTCATTGGTGAGGAGACCAACCAAGGCATTTAAGTGATTAGCAAAATGGAAAGGTATATCACTGTTATTCACTATAGTTTGGATCACAAATTAGATCCGAGGAAGTTAATTTTAATTGTAGACAAATTATTTAATTTTTTGTACTATCCTTGAATCAGACCACATCAAAACCTGTTAGTTCTGACTCACTGGAGCCTGTTTCATCTGCATATAAGCAAGCACACCATTGGGTGGGTCCCAGTCCACCTTCTAATGCTCAGGCAGATGAGCACACAGCTATTTCACGATTTGGTTTGGTTAAGCAAAATATAAATAATAAAATTGACTCATCATATCATACAACATTCCCTAGTTTATGTTTATATCATCAAATTATACCTACTTTGCAATTTTCAACACTTCCTGCATTTTATAACATACCTCGGAACTATGCAAGGAGTCTTTGAAGAAGACAGATGGATGGATAGAAAAGAAAACTTTCATTTTATGCACTCAGGTAAACATAAATCCAAACACATCTGCTATGCTCATTTCCATTTCCCCAAGAAGAAATAAGAAAAAGACCTCATCAAGGAAATTATCATGCCGTTATAATTGGAGGATCCATAGCTCATGATTTGTAAATTGATCTCCAGGAAAGTGAAGGCAAAATTCCTTTGCTCACAGATGCCTAAAATGAAGTGCAATTTGTGTCTAAGCACGATCTCTTTGGAAACGAGGCCAGCTACCTGCATTGCTTCTGATGGGAAACAGGTGTGCACATTCTGAGAAGACTGGGAAGGCACTATGCATAGATGATTTAGCTTGTCCCATTTTATCCATGATAAAGAAGTGGTCAAGAAGATGCACTCACGACGACAGATAAGGACAGACTGATAAAACCATGAACAGCAGGACCTGAACCCACATGGAAACACCACATGCTTCATTGTACCTCTGAGAATTGTAGCTCCAGAACAGCCTTTCGGAAATTTTCCCACTATGCTACTATTCAGAAACTATGAAACACAGGTTAGGGTTAGCTATTGTCATTTATCCAGCCCACCCCTCTCACCATTGTCGTTGTTGTTGCTTATCCTCAAATCAGCTATGACTCGTGGTGACCTCATGTAGAACAGAACGAAACGTTACCCTGTACTGTACTATCTTGATGATCATTGGTATGTTTGAGTCCATTGTTTTGGCTATCGCGTCAATTCATCTCATTAAATATATCCTTCGTTTTCACCTATCCTCTACCAAACATGATTTCCTTTTCTAGAGATAGGTATTTCCTGATGATGTGTTCAAAATAAGTGAGCCCAAGTCTCTCCATCCTCGCTTCTAAGGAACATTCTGCTTATATTTCTTCTGAGACTGATTTGTCTTATGAGATGGATTTCTTAGTAGTCTATGGTATATTCAGTATTGTTCACCAACACCACGATTCGAATGCGTCAATTCTTCTGTCTTCCTCTTACTATACAGATAAGGAAATAGAGGTCTAGAAAAATCCACTTGTCCAAGTTCACACAACCAAATAAATTTGGCACATGATTTCTAAAGCCACAGGGCTTTCTGAACAGGTAGAGATTCTCAAAGACTGCTGTAGCCATTAGGTTCCCAAAGGGCCACATCCAAGCCTTCTTCTGCATTTTAAGTGAAAAGACTCCAGGAGGAAATAGAAGCAAATCATGGGAATTTATGTGCACACACAAGGGCTGGTAATGGTAGAACATGCTGCCTGTGAATATCCAATGGGCATAAGAGAGTCAGAAGACAATGGGTAACCCTTACCTGTCCGTGCTCCAGATCTGAGGCACTGGGCTCTGCGGGTTTCCTCTGTTTATCTGTGTTTGTGTTTCATGAGGGAGAAGGATCATAGCTCTAAATGCACAGCCTCCAGGCCCCAGCTCTGAACCCAAGCTCCTGGGAGAAGCCCAGAGTTAACACTCCATGGCCCTACAGCTAATAGGGTTCTCACCGGAGCTGCTCTTCCTGCCACATATGGGAGCTTTGGCACAGTTTTCATGATTTACTTTAATATTTTCAACTTAAGAAAATGCTGTAAGTTACAATTAGACATCCCCATCGCTCAATAGTATGCACTGCCAAGTCTATCTTGCAAGGCTATTTCACAAGCTTTCTGTCCTACACAGCCTTTCTCCCATATAAATTTAAAGGATCGTCTTTTCACTTGATATGTCAAGTTTGAACATGGTTTTTTGTGTCTGCTTATTTGTAAGTGTGAGTATCTGCTATTTAACTTGGAAGGACTCTTAGTGAATGTGTGGATTAAATTGTGTCCACCCAAAAATTATACTGAAGTCCTGGCCCCTGTGGACCTGTTTGGAAATAGGATTTTCTTTTGTTACATTAATGAAGTCATAACAGAGAAGGGTGGGTCTTAAATCTAATCACTTCTGAGTTTTTA